TGTGTGTGTGTGTGTGTCTTGGTGCCTGCCTGCCTGTTGCTCCCCTCTGCTGGGTTTTCATGATATTGCAACTTGTTTTGACTATTAACATTAGAATTTCTTTTTGTACAATGTTAAACCAGGAAGGTACAGGGTAGTTAAATCAACACACACACACACACACACACACAGGATGTACTACAACTACTAATAGAGCCATCAGGATTTTCACCTGGGTCAACTTAGTTGGAGCCTCAAACAGGATAGGCTGGCCAGACTGACGTGCACTTGCACTTTCACAGCTTGGACGGATGTCAAGACTGTCAAGGGTAGGCGAGTGAGGTAGGGAGTAAAGCTGTGTTCAGACAGACATTGGCGTTCTATCAAAACAATGCAGCCTCCTCATTCGTTTCATCAAGAACACTGCTCAGGTCCACCATGGGTTCTGATGCAGAGGGTTCCAGCACAAAAATCACATCACCCAGAAAAAAGAGAAACCTGGACACACTTTTCTAATGGTTGTTGAAAATAATTATTATTAACATTTTAGGAGGTTTTTTACTACACCCAGCCCTAAAGTCTAATCTCCCCACCTCATTTCATCACTGCTTATAGCTCTTTGGTGAATTGACTATACAGCCGCCTGGCTTTGTCCTCCTTTTAGAAGTATTTCTGTCTTGCCCTATAAAGAGAGAATTGTGCCTTTTGGGACAGAGAAGAATAAACTATTCCTCAGTCTACAGAGCCTAATTAGATTTGTGCAACTTACTGTCTTTCAGTCTGTGATTTTGTCTCTTAATGTCGTCGGTTTATCAAACTCCTACTTTCCTAATTTTATTTTACAAAGGTTTACCATATTGGCCTAAATATAAGACAATGATTATATTTGAAAAAAGAGATGTGTTGTATTGTATTATAGAGTGCCTGCTAGAGTTAGTCAGCACTAAGATTGTCTGCTCAAGACATGCGTTTTCTTCCCACAGTGGACAGCATCTCCTGACAAATCTGCCACAGAAATGGACCAAAAACAGTAATCTGTCAAGCATACAAGAAGTGTGATGTCATGTTAGAAAATGGTGAGCCAGAAAAGGCAGTCTTAAACATGCTAACAGTCACAGGAGAATTTCTGGTGGTGCCAAACTTCGACCAAAGCTTGACACAAGAGAGTGTGTCAGTATATGTGAGTGAAAAACATAATGCCTTTTGCTAGAGCCGTCATACAGCTGAAAGCTTTGCACATTATCGGTCAGCTGAATCCGCTACGTCTCGCTGAGATGGTAAAAAACAAAAACATGTACTAAATTTTACTAATTAACCCCACCATGGGTATGTTTGTTTGATGTACAGTTATACGGTCTTATCTACAATGAATACAATTAAAAAAACATTTCCAACTACACAATGTGATCAAAATTAATGAAATGTAAGACTATCTCAATTTTATATGACATAACTCAGCATTATAATTATCATGCTCTAACAGTAATATCCATTTGTTTTATGGAGTCCAAACTAATTACTGAAATTTGCTGATTGTTTCTTTGGCTTGCATTTGATGGTGTACCATTGAAGTCTTTCGACTGCATTATTTGAATTATCGTAATATCATTCACATCATACCGTTCAGCTCAGAAGGATTTAATGAATGTCCATGAATTATAGCCACCCTAATGCTTTGATAATACATGTGCTCTTTTCCATTTTGGAGCTCACTGCGACTTTGTCGTGAGGCTAAATAAACCTCAATATTCAATTTTTCTTTAATGAACTAATACAGATTGTTCCCACAACCTGTTACAAAAGGGCTCTTAATCAGTGGAGTACCCAACAAACTAGTATTCCTGTTGAATATCAAGGAACACTGAAGTGAGTCTTGAAAGTGTGCGATGTTAGAAAAACCTTTAAGATAATCCAACACAACAACAATACTTACCATCTTCAAGATTAGCATAGAGCTGAATCAACATCTTTCTATTTGTCACCATCACACACCTACAGTTGACAACATGCAAGCATGTACATTGGTGAGGTCTGAAGTGTAGAATACCTGCAAGAGCCTTGATGCGTGAGCGCTCGAAGAGGCGTGCTGAACTGTTCTCATTATCCCAGTCAGTCTCTGCTGCCAGGTCCCAGCGGTTGTTGATGTCATTGTACTGCTGCTGGATCTCCAAGCTGTCAAAGTCCGTCGGCGAGATGGTGCTCATGGTGTCCGGGCTGAAGGAACACTCATTCAACCTACAGTTCAGACACAGACACGCAAAAGCATCCAAAGTCAGCGCACGGAGAGAAGAGAGGAAACAAGACTGACCACTGAAATGTTTGTGAGCTAATGTTTGGCAGATTCAGTTTAGGACCTGAGCGTCTATGTTATCGGCAGCCAGATGATGCACTGTAACATACACCACACACACACACACACCTCACAGCCGCACTCTAGTTTTATGTGCTCAAACATATGCAAATAGCAGCTCGGTCAGTACAACTGCCAGAGAGTTGAGATAAAAACTTGGAGATAAGTTCAGCAACTGTCATGAAGTAGTTAAGTTAGCCAACCAATACTTTAATACAACTGCTCCCATATGCCCCAGCAACTCCAGTAATCTCATTTTACCCAGCTTAAATCCAATGCAGACATACAGATGTAACAAACATAAGCACACACACTCACACACACACTGCATTAGGCCTGGCTGAATGTCAATACATATTGTATTCATGCAGAAATGTTTAAGGACACAGGCCTGTTGATGTTTCTACTAAACAAAGTTTGCAACAGAAATCATTAGCAATACAGATATGATAACTTGAATTGACATTCACTGGTTACTTCACTCAACTCCAACAGTCAAATAAGCCTGTGTGTTAACTGCATTCACAATAACCAGTGAATGTCCAGTAATAAATGACACTTTGTGAGACACACTCCTGATGCTTGTGGCCTGCATGTGCCTGTTTGTGCACGTGTTGATAGAATACATGAAATAAACAGCAGGGGGCTGCTCATCAAAACACTGCCCCACAGCCCTACCAGTGGTTCAGAAACCCACTGAATAAAACACTTTGTTTAGATTCTCAGTGCCCGTCCTTGTACTCACATTCCTCCTATCCTGTTGTTTGTACTAACTCAGCATGCAGTTATAACAACAAGGGTACCCTCATATGGCAACAATCAATACTTCATAAACAAGGTCAACCCCACCCCCATTCTCCATCTGAGTCTCTGTATTTTATATTAGAATATTATTGAAAATGTTGAATATTTTATAATGATTTTTGTATTAATTGAATGGTATGTATATTCCATTATATTATTCACTTCATTGTGGTCAAAACAAACAAACAAAAAAACAATAATTGCAGATGACCAGCCAGATCCTGTCCTTAGTATTATGCACACCCAACGGGGGATGTACATTAAGATTAACCCCCCGCCAGAGAGACCCATTAACTAACTGGGGCCATTTGTTTAAGAGCATTGGACAGATTAATAGACAAGGTTGAGTAGTCAGTTTGCTAATACCTGTAAGTTTATCTTTTGTTGTGTCTACTGTGGCTGACTTGAGATGATGGAGGACTGTCTGCTAACCCTTTCCTTTAATTCATTTACTTTATGCACTGAAACATTTTGGTCATATAAACTCTTTCTATAAGGTCTGGCATGGTGAGTTTAGTTTAGTCTGTGTTCGATTATGTTGAACTACAGGATGGAAAGTGGAGATTCCAGGTAGGAAACGATGCGGTCTTCCAGATTAAGTAGGCCAGCTAACAATACATCACACATTAATGAGGCAATGTATTCATTCACTGTTCTTTTCCTCAAGGTGTGGCTGAAACACACTAAGTCAATGCTCCCTCAAATGCTCCCTGTACAGCCAGGTTGGTGCAAAAACACACGATAGACAATAGCATCATTAAGATTAGTGTTACAGAAGGGGAATGAGGTGGTGCTGATTTGAAAAGTATTATTAGAAATAATGACTTCAATATAAAAATGTTCAAACGTCCTTCTGCAGCACTGTTCGGTCTTAAAAAGGAGGTTCAGTGACAGTAATGATCTGCAGCTGTGTAGCATGGGGCAGACTTAGTGTGTCACTGAAACACGTTATTAGGCTTTATTGTTGTTTATTTTGTTGCTTTCGTGGGTTTTTTATTTATTTTTTTGGCAGTTTTGTATTAATTGGACAGTTTACAATATAGATGCAGAAAGTAAACAAAGGGGACAGAGAGAGAGGCACCAAAGGTCCACAGCCACACAGAGGTGTTTCAGTGATGTGCTATGAAGGCTGACATGTGGTCCTGATAGCTAATGCTCCATAATGCAGATTTGCTATTTAAACATACCCTATGCAAAATACATAAAACATTGTCTTTCATATAGAAATAAATGTACTACTGACTGGTAATACTAGTTTACTATATATCTAACATCATACCATCACTGATGTTTTAACAGACCATGGCATGGTCCATCATCCCAGCCTTCAAGTAACCCTTACTATTGTTGAGTCAAACAAGTCACACACACATTCTAGCTAAAAAATAAAACAAAAGCTCGGCAAATCCTATTAGAGGCAGATTAAGGAGTGGCTGGGAATAGAAACTAAATGCAGGGATTAGAGAAGAAGACAGAACGACGCCTCCACACTGCCCTCCGACCTGTCACCTCCCCAATCACTGAACCCCACTGAGTGTGTGTGGGCAGCCAGCGGGTTTATTATTGTGTCCCTCATTTATAGATTGGATATTCTCTAAAAACACAATAACCACACAGTCAGGCCACAAACACCGACTCTGACAATGGTCACCTCCTTCAGTCCACGCCCTCCTCAACATTGCCATGTCAAATTGGAGCGAACTAACAAATAATTGAATGACAACCACAGGCAGGCCTACAGCATGTAGCTTACTGTGCTGTGGTGACATTTCTCCACAGCCTAAATCACCAAAACATCACAGCAAGGAAGCAAGAGCCACAAAAGAGGACACGATATCCAGGACAGGCCTGGCAGCAATGACACTCTGTCTGCGGGAGTGGACCAGGGCGGGGCTACAGGGGGCAGGACCAGTGACGTCACAGAAGTCTGGCAGTGGCAAATGGAGGGCGATCCTGCCCCTGTTGTGAGTAGGAAGAGGCTCGGCTCAGTGTCTGCGCTAATCGCTCCTCAATGGATCAGACAAACAATCCCCTGACCTACTATGATACAACCTACTGTACTCACACACACACACACACGCAAGCTGAGCTGACCTATTACACCCCCACCACACCACCAACACCGCCACCAAGGCTAACACACAAACACACACCGTGCTTCTAAAAAGCACACGTACAATCCCACCCACTCAGCATGTAACCATATACTGGATCAGCATTCAGCACACTAAACCGCTTCAACACCTACAATCATACCAGCCTGAGTGACGGCAAAACTGCCTCCCAGTACAGAGAAGAAGACCAATCAGAGACAGGAAAGAATCCCTCAACTGTGTATTTGCTTGGAAAAACTAAATGAGTCACGAGAAATGAGAAAGACTTTTGAGTCATTTCTTTTCCACACACACACACACACACACACCTTTTGGAGACATCAGATGTTAGCCCCAAAGCTACTGCAATGCAACATCCAAAATACTGATCCTATCAGACACAGACAGACAGACAGTTAAACAGATGTGCCACAAAAAGGGGGCATAAAAGAAAATCCCCTCAAGGCCTAATCCACAAACACACAAAAGGTTAATGTAATGAAAGAGTTTGAATCATCTATCAGTCAGAAAATGACTCTCTGAACATTTACTAAAAAACATAAATCAGTGCTACTATTACAATCCCAGTACTGCAGTTGCTGGTTACCACAGCAGGGAGTGAACACAGTGAGGAGAGCTGACACAGATTCAATGACAGCATGTCTAATACTGTTGAGGAATATGTTCTTGGCCTACATGAAGGCAAACCTTTTCAAACATCACAGCACTACGCTTCCTCTAAACTCAAAGGAAAGGGGGACCATTAGTGTGCCTGCTCGGAAGAATCGCTCTCCTGAAAGAGGGGGAGAGGGGGAAAGTGGGGCACCAAGGAATGCCCCGAGGCTAAAGCCCTGCCTCTGACCGGGCAGACACACATCAGGCATCAGGCGACAGCGGCTACGAAAGCAGGGCAGTGCCGGCAGCATGACAGGCAGCACCACCACCTCTCTCTGTCTCACTCTCTCTCACCCCTCCTCCCCCTCCAGAGCTGCTTCCATTTGCCCAGCTGGTCTGTTTGTCACCGCACCCGTTAATCAGAGAGAAAGAGAGAAACAGAGCCCACCATCAGTTGCCCGCAGGGAATTAGGGCCTGTGCACATTAGCCGGCCACACTGCCACCGTGCACCATGGGAATAGGGTAGACACACACACACACACAACCTCCCTGTAATGCCAAACAAAGGAGCTCTCAGCCTTGCCAATATCCACAGTATGACAGTAGTATTCAACATACACAATTATTATTCCGTGTGAAATATTCCCCTGAAAGGTTTTCTTCAGGACTGTAAACGGAGCTTCTAGACACACACTTAAATCGTCACGCGCGCGGCTCCCGCTCCCAAACCAGCCTGTGCCTCCCCTCCATGCTTCGGGGCTGGGTCGGGCGTTGCGGCGGCGCGCGCGGGGGGGCAGACTCCACACTGCCGCGCCAGCGCCGCGCCCTGGCCCCATACAATGGAGGAGTCAGCACAGAGTTGAGGCCAGCCGCTGGAGCCTTTCCTGTTTGCAGAGATGAGGCAGCCAGAGGCACACATGCATCAGAGGCCCCTCCACAGCCTGCTGATCCTGGCCTCAATGCCCCGATGAATAGGACAGCACAGCTCCTTTGTTGACCTGTAGCATCACATTCATCAAACACTCAGGCGGCCACATGCCCTCCACACACACTTCACTTCTGTGGGCACCAGCTCCGCATACAGCACTAAGGTACATAATAAATGTTTATTGTAAGAGAGGATTTCTTTTCTCTCGCTCTTTTTGCATTTTATAATGCAGAAGTCATGTTACACCATATTTAAATCAAATCAACAGACTACAACATTGGTAGCAAACTTGCTCATTTGCCATAAAGGTAAAAATAACTACAGAAAGAAAGATCAGTTTCATCTGAATCTACTAACATTTACAACTTTCTCATCAGGCAAGACTTCACATTACATCATACTGACATACTACTATGTCCTTTACTCTATGGGTGATGAATGGTG